GCGCGGAATCATAATGGGCCATAATTGCATAAATATAATGTTAATTAACAATTAAGATTGCCGCTTTGCCTAATTGAATCGCCGCTCCTGCTAGCTGAGCGGAGAAGAGGGAGGACACCCCGTTTCCTCGTTCGATCGGTCGCCAAGTGGTCGGTAAAAGAGGGACAGGAGGGGACGTGGATCCGGAGAGGGCTTCGAGGTGGCTTTAAACGTAACGCCGTATCGGAAAATTATGCCGATGGTCGTACCTCGAGTATGCACAATGCACACGTTCGATACGAAACGCCCTCGGAGAAGCGTGACCGTGTGTCGCTTTAGAAAAACGCGTATTTATATATACACGGCCGATGCCGATTCGAAGAAATAAAGAAGGAAGAGTGGAAGGTTAGTCGGAGAAGAAACTGCCCGCGATGAGCACGGTCCATTCGCGCGGACCTGATAGCGAAGGCACGACGACGATCGGGCAACGTGAAATCGTGCCGAGAGAAAATTACGAGATATCGTTATTTTTAGCAATTATCCAGAGGAAGAGGGTGGAAAAGGAGAAAAAGGAGAAAAGGGAAGAAGTAAGCTGGTCAGTATTAAGGCGTCTAAATATATATATATATATACATATATATATATTTGTTACCTTTTATTGATAAGCTGCGACAAGTTCTAAGAGTTAAACACGTATTTAACTAGTTACGCGTAAATATTTAAATATCATAAATATTTATTAACGGAGAACATGCTAAATACATATTTTGGCACATTTAATACAAACAAGACGTGACGAACGAAACAGATGGAAGACAAAGGCAAAAAGATAAGACAAAGAATAATAATTGATAAACTAGTTATTACAAGTAATAACTGTTGGCGATGACTCACTCGGTTCAAGGCTGTTATAGAATCATGAAAAATATCGATTTCGTCATCGAGCTTGTTGACCGATATACACATTCGGTTAATAAAATTAAATTTATCGAAAGGAATACGGTGTTATTATATAAAAAGAGTAAATAGGAATTAAGAGCTAGATGCGATGCGGATAAAGTAACAGATATATCGCAAAATAGATAGAAAATAAAAGCAATGGGAAAAATTGAATTCGTACTAAATATCAGCAAGTATCTTAATACTTATATACGTAGGCTGAAGCAAGAAATCGTGTACGAAGATCTTCTAATGGTCTCTCTTCGCTGTGTTTCTTCTTACTCGAGAGGTCTGCACGTCGTTACATACACGATATCGACATACACGGTCGTTGAACCGGTACCATCTATGCCCGATGCGTATCGATCGCTCGATGGAGCACACGGAATTTCGGGGACGCAATTAGCGGCGTGCAGATGCAATAATAATTAATTCCCGTTAATCCTCGCGGAGTGAATCGACCGATAGTCCGCGGAGCTTTCCATGTACGAGGGAAATAAATGGAATCGCTCGCGATACGCCAGTCTCGAAATCTTTGATTGTGGATTCTGTGAGATCGTCGAAGCTTCGTATTCCACCTTCCCTTTGGTTCGATCCCCTTTTACTCCTTTGTGTCGATCCGGTGCACAGCCTCTGGCGAACAAATTTTATTCGGTTCCTTTTATTTTCTTGTTTCAGATGGTACAGGCGATCCAGGTCCTCCGGTTTCACCTCCTCGAGCTCGAAAAGGTGAGCACTTTTCAGATTCCACGTTTTCTTCCCATTTCCAAGGCTATATAAAATGTTAGAAAGAATTATGATTTTTTGTCTGATGTAGTTATATTTCTTACAACATTTTATATAGCTTCATAAATTAGTTAAGATCGATTAAAAAATAATATACTTAGTAATATACCTAGTAGTGTAATAATAGATATAATAATATCGTAACGTATGAAATTTCCTACTTTGTGCTATCAAGTTTCTAAATCTTAATTAGTTTTACCTTTTTCATAGATTACTTTATTATCGTTTTATCATTCCCGTATGTTTCTAATCCTTTAATTGTTAGATACATTAACAATAGTTGATGGACATTTCTTGAAACAAAACGGTATTCATTCTCGATAAAGAACCGCATAAAAACACCTTCCACGTCCACGTTTTTTAATTCTCTAAATTTTATATTACTTATCGTTTGAAAGGAAGTATTTTACAACTATTACATGTAGAAGCTCCTCAGGTTTCAGAAAAGAGGAGGATGCCAAAGACAATTCATTTCGAAATTGTGTGAAAGTATATACTTATAAATTTTATAAAAATATGATTTATCATGTTGTCTTCATACTCTACGGCCTATAATATAAGTGTAACGATGACTAGCATAAACCAAAGGGTATAGTTCCATTAACAACTGAACAAGTAGGTAAAACTGTAGAGTAAGCGCGAGGTTGACGCGTTTAGGTGAACTTTCAAGCGTACTAGCGAACGTCAGCGAGCGGCGTGTTCTCTCGTCCGCTCCAATTGTCGGGGATTACCGGGTGTCGCGGTAGATAAGCCGTTCGTAACGCTTGAAAAACAACTGTTACGGGCGGAGCGCAATTTTCCGTAATTGTAGTGAAAGCTCGGCACCACCCGTCCTCGGTCGTCGGTCAGCTATGGTGCACACCTTGGCGGTTTGCTCGGCTCGGGCCGAGTTCCAGCCGTAAGTGGCGTCATTTAGCTGTCCAATGGCCGCTAGACGTACGAACACGGTGCACGCTCCAAGTTGTTTGCATTGGAACGGCCATCTTTCTCCACCGAGATCGTGATTTTTTCCCTTGCCCCTCTCGTAAACCGGAAACCTGTAAATCGGAGTACATGTCTCGTATTAGATCGCATAAAATGGTACGAACTGTGTTATACCGAGAAGTCGAACATAGAGGACATGTATTAGCATATTCATTCTTAATACAAAAGGTAGTTAGTAAAATATAAATATAAATATTAATTACTAAGATCGAGTGATTAAATTATTCATCGAGCTTTGCATTAATCAGAACCTCTTTTAGTCATGGTGTTGAAAACGAATGTAGACGAGACAATTTTTATTACGTCAGTTTTAAATCCTGCAATCGCACAAAGGATTATTGGATAATTAAATTAGTTGAAATAGTTTATAAATATTATAGACGCATAAAATATCGACGGTCCATAACGAGTGACATAATTTAAACGAAACTCATTCACAAGTCTTCGATAATCCACAACGAAATTGCTTTGTAAAGCTAGTACAGGTATTACGATTAAAGATTCTATCGGCAGCAACTTTCGATTTTCCCCGAATTCTAATTAAGACAGGGTCGGAAGATACCGCGGCCGCGATCGGTCCCAGCGGACGTCGAAAAAGTTGCAGGTTGGTTCGTGTCACGGTTCAATCGACGACACGAGAGGAACAGCGGTCGGGATTAATTGAACCGGGCAGCCGGTTAATATTCCGCGTGCGTTCTCGCGTTGTTACTTCGGGACCAGGGTAAATAAATATTGCATTAGAAGGCCGGCATGTTTCGGCCCGTTTTTCCCCCGCTAACGATTGATAACCGTTCGACCGGTAAAGCCGGTGTACGCAACAGAAAAGAGAAAGGGAGAAGGAAAGAGAGTGCAAGTTTTCAGGAGGAGCTGTTTGCGTGGCCGCAGAATACCGGGGCGGGCCCCGTTCGGCCTGGCTACGCCGTTTTTGCGCCGATATTTTATCATACGAAATAGCGGACATCCATCGCATTTCCATCGAAATGGCAGCTGACGTGGCGGCAGCCATTGGCCAAGGGAGACCAGGCCGTCTCGATGCGCCCCTCGTGTATGTTGCTCCCTCTCGACAGGCCCGCCTGGATCGACCGGTCGATCCTGCAATTTTATACCAATTTTCCTCATTTGCCGCGATTACATTATTATAAAGGCTGGGGCTACCTACCGGCGAATCCACGTTGGCCTGGAGTACACGCGGGCCAACCCTTCTTCCTCTCTTTCTTCTTTAAGCATCCTGAGTAGGTACTTTTTCTTATGCACGTCGATTACTCGTGCAAAGAAATTCTGATGGTCGTGCCTGGTCCGTTACATGCAAAATCGTAATCACTATCGTCGTTCGTTTATTTAAGAAGTCTTGGCAAAAAGAATGATAAGAAAGATGCGTTAAGAAGACTGGAAATATAGCCAACTGGACGAGATTAAAACTAAAAGAAATAAATATGTATATACGAATTGTAACTTAAACGTTCAGGTTCTGTTGCGTTCTATCCGCTCAAACATAAATAACTTCCGCATCTTCCCACTGTATTAACAAGACGACTAGAAAACTGGACTGTAGAAATTGGAAGAACAGTAACATTTCTCTAGTTTCGTCAATTTTTATACATCGAAAGAATTACACGTACACTCCCACGAAAGATATCAATCGATTCTTCTACTGGAACGTCGAAAGTACAGATCGGAGTTGCAAGAAATCGGCGTACAGTCATCCTCCAATGGAAGACCGCTAAGAGATAAGAAACCGTCTCACCAGGATCAAGACGCCAAACCGATATTCGATTCCGATCGTAGCTTTTTCCTCCCACAAGTCCAGGCTCCTACGATTCCAATACGCCAACCAGTGGATTTATTTTAGCGAGATTGTCGGTCGCGATATCGGGGCGGGTCTCGAAAAGCCGCGACAAAACCTGGCCGCAATTTGGCACGGTGTGCGCCGCACTGGCATCGACGGTAATGAAGATTGAAACGTTCTTGGTCCCCGGAGTCCTCCGGGGACGAGCAGAGCCGGGACATGGAGGACGCGGAGCGAGCGAGCAAAGCGGAATGCAGCGAACGCGCGATCAAGAAGATTCCATAAATATCTGGAGCTCCGAGCAGCGAACGACAGACAGAGGACGAGAAAGTGATAGATGAAGAGAGAAACGAGACGAGAGAGGAAGAGGTGTATCGAGAGGGACGAGGATGTTTGACCAATAGGGAGAAGCATGGTAGCCCGCGGTGCTGCGCTTCGTGCATTTAACATTTTCGAGCCAATCGCGTATTAGCATAATTACGTTTTGCAGGGGCCCGGTGCGTGGAAGGAAGGTTTCTTCTTCTTTATTGCTCTTTCTCTCGTTTCGTTCAACTTTCTTGTTCGCTCTATACAACCTCTCTGCCTCCCTCCATCGCGAGTCGACCTCTCTTTCCACATCGATCTTTCCTTGAGTTGCAGCCTAGTTCGTCGTCTTCGTTCAGCTATCATGTTTTCCTCCGTTCGTCTTCGTCGTTCGTTCTTCTCCCTTGGACCTGTATACTCGTGACACACACCACCGTATATACACGCTATCACCGGTTAGAGAGCGGTAAATTTCTTATGGGGTATTATGGCGCACCGTGCATACCAACCGGGATTCATACCGGCGCAACACGCGGACACAACCCTCTCCTCCAGCTGCCCTACCTTAGAAACTGGTTCTAAGTTATACCTAGTCCTGTAGGGACATCCGCGTGCCTCCTTTCTCCGTTGTTCGGGTTATGTGTTTTCGTGGACATCTCGACGGCCAGGACATCCGGGTTGCTCCGCAGGCTGTTACCCTCTGCCTCCATTTCAGCGCCTTTTCGATCGTGAAGAATAGCGTAGCCGTGGCCCTTAAAAAGGATTCACCTATCTGGATCTCAATTGTTTATTTCGAAATTAATAGAGTCGGTTGTAAAATTAAAATTAGGACAAAATCTGTGAAAATTGAAAATAACTTTTTAAAAGTGCAGACTATAAGTATTCAATCTTCTTTAACATGGACTGCAAGGTTTTGACTACAAAAAGAGAGGTTAAATAATAATATCTATGATATATCTGTTCCACAAGACGGTCCCTGATATGAGATGCGTCTCCATTAGCGAATGTGTTGGCGAACACTGTTCGCGAATTAAACGTTCGAAAACCAGAATGACTCCCCACTCCTTCCGTTCGCCAGGACCAAGATGTCATCTATAGCCGAATGGAACGCATAGTACGAGTCGTTCGTAGGCGTACACCCGGTATATAGGTATCGTGCGTGCCGTAAGGGGTGGTCAGGTTGTGAATCGGGGCACGGTAGAGGAACTGAGACAGACACCCCGAAACCTTCATTACCTTCGGCTTCAAAGGAACCCATTGTGCCGTAAATGGGGTTCGCTCTGCGCTCCTCTTTCCTTCTTTCTTTCTTTTTTTCCTCCTCTTCTTTCTTTCTTTCCCTCCTTTCCTCGCTGTGTTCCTGCGCGTACCCCGGATCCGTTCCATTCTTCGAGCCGTTTGCCTTTCCGAGAGGCCGTCGACAGAAAGGGATGAGGTACAAGAAGAGAGAGTACAAAGAGGGAGAGACACTTGCTCGTTCGTTTCTTCGTTTACGTAAATTCTCGAGTAATTTCGGGGGTCGAATGAAAGGAGGAACGAGGGGGAGGCTGGAGGTACGCGAAGTTCTTGGGGGCGGAGAGGGCACGTCGCGATGGTATAATGTCGCCTCGTGCGGAACCTCCCCTCGCACGATCCAAGGGGAGGAGAAAGGAGGCAGAGAAAGGAAGAAGGGACAACGGGCCGTTTAAGAAGTCTTTGAATCGAGAACTCGTTTCGAATGGAGGGCCCGCTGCTCTCCGTTCGTCGGCGACACGCTTCTTCTCGCTGTCGCTGTCCCTTTTCAGCCGGAACATCGACGGTCACCGCGGACTGGTTGAACTCTCTCAAACGGAAACTCGCGGGGATCTATCTGGGCGTGAACACCCGTAAGCAAGGGAATTTTCTTCTTTCCCTAGATAATCTAACAAATGCAATTTTAGTTCTTAGAAGTATTACTTAGTCGATCGTAATATAATTTTGAAAATATCACGTGGGTTTACGGAATAGCGCGTTTACTCCAAGCTTCTTTCTGTTTATTTGCTGTTTATATCCTTGGACGAAGGTACGTGTTACGATCTTTATTTTTATGTATTTATGTAACGATAACGAGGAAGATAGAATGTTGACGGGAAAATCTCTGACGCGCAATAGGGACGAAATCCGGCGGTTTGGACAACTGGCGAGCCATCGAATCGACACCCCTATCCGCTCGCAACTTGTTAAATCGGCCATAAAATGGGAATAATCTCGAGTTACAGGCGACGTTGTCGCTGTAGCTGGTATCGTGCTCGGTCATCGCGAACCAGCCTCGATTTTTCGTCTCCTTCTGTGGCGTTTCTTCTACACGCGCAGAGGAGAGCCACCTTCCGGTAATGGCGTTGCCTCCGGTGTCGCATGTACCTTACGGAGGAACACGAGAAGCGTTCGCGGGGACGCGATGAAAGCGATACCCCTCGCTGTTTGCAAGTGTATACGCTCTCTCTTTTTATTCCTATTCGTGGCTTTTATTTCGGCCTCGGAGTGGCACGTGAAAGTTTACGCCCGCGGTTCATCGCAGAAATTAAATACCACCGCGCTTCGCCGGATAATTCCATCGATAGGACGAAGAGGAGAAGAGCTTTCACCTTCTTCGATGGAACCAGAAAGTTGACGAGGAGAGAAGGAAATGGCGATCCTTTGAGACACTCGATATTTTCCGTGCCATGTTCTTCTACCACCGCGAACCGTTCGCCGTATCAGAAAATCCGAGAACCTAGTACCCGCTTGGATGAATTAGATACCAAAGAAGTGCTGCGCCTCCTAGCATATCCTTGGCTTTAGGACAGGGGGATACTGTGTCAACCATGCGGCAGTGCGAGCTGTGAAAGGATATGATATTGTAAGTGGAACGGCAGAAGAATCGTCCGAAGCCTCAAATTTGAATATTTATCATTATGTGATGGTAGTTCTCGAATCTTCTAGTTAAATTTGAACAACATTTTTTTAAGGGGGTTTCTATTTGGTTTTCTTCTTTACGTACATCTTTGTTCACTAGCATCGAAACACTTGCTGGTCTTGTATAAAACACGATATTGGAGTCTATCATAGAAACGATTGAACCTTGTACCTGCGCAAAATATGGTTCCGAAATGTACTATAGCGACACATGGTCATAAGACGATTCGAATCGAGGATGACTCATGTTGTTGTTTTGCCTGGGAGTGTTAATACCGTTTTGATATACGAAATGTAATAATAAACAAACTCCGGGCAAGACAATATGGCCGCTACACGCAACCATCAACCGAAGTCGAATTTAAACTTTCTGGTACTCTCCCCACTAATATAAATAAACGAACACGATCAAGTGAGTTAGTATCACAATCAGTGAGTTAGTATCGAGCAATCTTATAGCGATTAATATCGAGCGAACGTACTGATTACCGTGTATAACACTGAGCGAACGACGACTAACTCTGCACTACAAATAATTTTAAATACATTGACTACACTAAGCATTAACCCGTCTCGTCACTACATACATCAACACGTACAATCGTACACCACAGTACGATGAAAATTGACAGAAACCGTTTGCTAGAGAAGTAGAGGAATAATAAATTAACAATTATATGTTATCCTCACAATCTCCGAGGTAAAATTCATTAAAGAAATTTGCAGTGAAATTAAATGGGGAACTCGTGGAACGTATAATTTATCTGAGATAGCAATCTTTAATGATTTTAACAATTTCTCGTAAGTAATCTAGTATTCATGAGTGGGGATGTAAATTTCTCGACATATCACCTGTTATACATGTGATAGATATTTAAAAAACCTGCAGGCAGATCACCAGGCCCTTTTACTCGTGACAAGAAGTCGGAGTAGAAAATGGTCACGCAGTTTCTAATAAAAGTCGAAAGCGGTCAATGTCGTAGAGGATCCGTTGGATCCTGTGTCAGTGACGGTTGGACCGATCGTCTGCGGTATAGGGTGACGCGATTCAGAGGGCCGATAGATGGCAAAAATTCGTGTCCGCGATGCATCGTATCATGTTCTAGATCATGAGCCGAATACTGGAGAGGTTTTTGGTGAACGCGGAGTACGGTATCAACTTCGAGCATCCACTCACGCGAGCCGATACAAACTATCCGCGGCACGGTCTCTTTTGGGCCGGAAGTTAGAGCGGTTAAAAGCGATTATAGAGACGGGAGATTCGAGTTTCACGCGATGCCAAGTTCGAAAAACGATTTTTGCTCAGTGATGGGGTCGGGGTGTGTTCCGAGCTCGTGTACGAGCGGTAAAAAATGGCTCGATAACCGTGTTCTGTGCTCGCCACGTACACAGAGAAAGACGTACGGTGTAGGTGAACGCTTCTCAGCGTTCAGGCCGTGGCTCCTTTCGGCGATCCGTCCCGGGGAGGAGAGAAAGAGAGAAAAAGAGAGAAGGAAAGACGGAACCCCGTTTCTTTTCTTCGGTGAGCATTGTCGGCCGGTTCGACTCGACTCCCGGCGGATCAAATTCTAACCAGTCCAGCATTATAGCTGCTGTCCTTCGAGCTCTCTCTCCACCGCCCCCCTCGCCGCCCTTTTGGTCCCGCGTTAAAGAGAGTCTAGTCATCTCGAGGAGGCATTGTGTTACCGTGCTCCGTAGCATAGTTGGTACTTGGAAGAAAATTCTGGAGAACCTCGTGCGCGCCACCATGAGAACCACGATCTCGCTGACCCAGTGTATATACGTATAGCCAACGCGGCCGTCTTTGTCGATCTTCGATGTTCTTCATGAAGAAGCATTACAGAATGGAGGAAAAAAGAGGAAAAGAATCTCGGAGCAAGAAGTATAAAATACCGTACTATGTAACGTACTAAACGTGACAACATACGGTATGGTACGATCTATGAAAAGAGGATCGACTGCGGATCGGTTTCGCGTCCGATCAAGCGTTCTCTCGCATACGTTTAACGCATGATAAACGCGTGCATTGTCTACGGTGGTCGGTGTCGGCCACGGCCTTCCACCATTGGACGGTGCCGCCTACGGCAAAGATGGCCGTCTTCTCTATTACATATAAATGCCTAATAAGAAGAACGTCGTATAAGTATCTACTAGGTGGATAGGTTGCCGAGAGGCAGCCAGGCAGAGCCTGTTGGAGAAGTCCGTCGAGAAGGGAAAAGAAGAGAAGAAGAGAAGAGGAGAGAAGAGAGAGGCCAGGAAGAAAGCGCGTGTACGCGCTTGCAACGAGAGAAGACACGCCGCCTCGTAATGCGCCTGGCTTCTCTCCGTTCCTCCTCCCTGTCGATTTACATATAACAAGATAAGCGTTTTTATTTGCTTTTGCTTATATAATACATTTTTTCTAAACCGAATCGAGCGACCAGGCAGAGGCGAAGTCGGTCCAAGGACCGGGGGGTAGGGAAAGGGGAGCGGGAGGAGGATGAACCGTGAGGAGGACGCTGGAGGACCGGGTATCCTATAGGCCTGTCAGACCTCATTTGCATACATAACATTCTGGTCGACTGGACACCGGTCAGACCTCCTCGCTCCCTCTCGCTTCGACTCGCTATCGACGATACAACGGGTCTCGTTGCTCGCTGCCGGACCGCTTCCACGGCCTCGAGATGCAACGAGCTCTTCGCCGGCCTCCTCCATCTTTGTGTATCGATACCAGCGTTCGTATCGGCCTCGCCATCCCGCGCGCGGCCCTTTCGGAACCGTGGCTTCGATGGTGAAAATACCGGGTGAACGTTTTACCCGAAGCCCATATGATCGTGGGTCCATTCCGATTCGACCAAACGAAATCATTGCCAATTTAGCCGATGTTTATAGCGGTTATAAGAATATTGAAATTACGGAATTAATCGAAGAGACAAGAAAGAGAGAGAGAGAGAGAGAGAGAGAGAGAGAGAGAGAGAGAGAGAGAGAAAGTGAAAGTCTCGGTTTAAATAACTCGTCTCGACGGTGCCTAGAATAGGTCAAGACTCGTTTGTACCATTTCGAATATCTGTATTACGTGACATTCAAACGTCCATCAAAGATGTCCAATGTTTAATTCAATTCGTTTTTTCTTTATGCAATCGTAGGTCCATGAACTATGCGACAATTTCTGCCACCGGTACATCAGCTGCTTAAAAGGAAAGATGCCGATCGACCTAGTGATCGACGATAGGGAGAGCTCGAAACCGCCGGAGATCGGGAACGGTCTGGACGGTGGCGGACCAAGGAGCACCGCTGACAGCACCAGTCACACAGACGGAGCGAGCACGCCGGACGTCGTGAGTACCTCACCATCGTCAACGTCTTATTATCCGCACGACGCGATCACCCCCCACCATCACCACCACCACCATCACCACCACCACCACCAGAGCCAGAATAATAATAACAATAATAATAATCACGCCGGTATCGGCAGTACCGCCACTACCACCCCCTTGCAACTGAG